TTTAGCAGAGGACTAGATGGACCAGATGATTCCCAGGGTTCCCTTCCAACCCTACAGTTCTGTGATTCTGTGAATGCAGCCTGTGCTTCACTCCCCCCCCCATCTGATTTATCTCTGCTGGCATAGCAGTCACAGTTGCCACGTTTTAGGAACAGATATGCTGATTAACAGAGTAGGCAAGAAGCCAAGGACAGTCCCCTGCTGCCCCTTCCCATCCCAGCTGCTTTTGATCTCTTGGAAGATTAGGGACAGTTGCACCCTCCAGCTGTGCCCTCCAGCTGTGCTCTGGGAGCCAGCACTGTCTGCTGCCTTGCTGCAAGGAGTTCCCCAGGGCAGGAGCACAGTGCTGAGTAGAGGTCATTGTGTGCCCCAGGCAGGGGTCTGTTGCCCACACTGGGCCCAATTGCACATTGCTGAGGGAACGTGAGGCAGAAACCAGATCTCATACTGTAAGTGGATGAAGATCAGAGAATTTCCAGGGAAAGGCAGGAAAGACTGATAGCCAAGTAGCCAGCTAGAGCAGACATGGACATGGGTTGAGGTGCTGGGGAAGGGATGAGGTTTGGTCCTGCACTGAGCAGCCTTCTGCTAGCTTTGATTTTCAGTAGTTTCAGGCCATAACACGCAGGCTGGCTTCACAGCAGTGCCCAGATGTCCGAACTTCGAATCACTGTGAAGTGGTGCCAGCCATAAAAAACCCCCATGGTCATCTCAGTCCTCAGGACAACATTTTTGCAAGGCCACGCAGCATGAAGTGTTTGCTGTACTGAAGAAGAACAAGGAAGAGAAATAGGACTGGGCAAATCCAAGGGGAAAGAAAAAGCACGTTGAGAAGGTAGAGCATGTCAGCTATGTGCACTGACTTTGTTCCCTCTCAGCATTTTGGTTCAGAAGCACTTCTGAGCAGTTTTCTCGTCTCCACTGGCTTCTTCTTGGCCAAAACTCTTTAAACTAAGGCTGTGAAGAGTAATCTTGTTTTGTTTCATTTTTGTAAGATCATTGTGAAATGTAAGAAATGTACAGCCATTTCTTGCTTGTCCTTAACAGCACTCTCGATTTGAAGGTTTATCTCCTTACCATTTCTGCACAAGAAGTGGAGCTCTCCCATTCTTCTCACTTAAGCCATCTCCTAGCCCTAGCTTGTTAGACCATTTCCCACATTTCTTCTATTTTGACAGTATTTTTCTAATGTGAAAATTGTAAGTACAGCAAGAGCATCCCTTTCTGCTTCATGCTATGATGTCTTAATGCTAAGCCTCCTTTTTCATGCTGCTCTATCAAAATATTTACAACCCATCCTTTGCCATCATCAGACTTTATGCTTTTAAATTCAACTTCAAAATTAAGGGCAGGGAAAATTATGATCATTTCCACATTAGTCACTGCATCCAGTTTCTTTGGAGTGATGAGTGAATCAACTCCCATTCTGACTTACTGTAGGGGTAAATATGTGTAATTTGAGCAAATTTGGGTTGCTTGATATAATTGTTTGCTGCTGTGCTACAGTGCAAAATGCGGGGATCTGTGAGGAAGTGCTTGCATCAGGCGCAAGCTTCTTGCCTTTGGTCCCTGCCAGTTTCTATTTTGCAATGCCAAGTTTGATGACAGCCTGCCTTAGGATGCAAATGGGCTTAGGAAAAAGACCCGTCAGGCAGTTTCCAGTGCACCGTCTCTGCATCACGTATGCTGGGAGGGCTGCGTGCTGCAGACCAGGTTTGCCTTGCTCTTCCCTGTGCTGTTTGCTGAGGTGTGGCTGAGTGAGTGAGGTCAGCAGCAAATGCCACATTCACTTCTGTGGAGGAAGGGATCCTCTCCTGCATGCAGGGCAGCTGCATGTGTGCTGGCTGCTCTTGATGCAGCTGTGTCTGTGTGGCATAGTGGCAGCCCCGAGATGGGTGTTTCCACCATTGTTATGCCAAGTCTGTTCAGGGTAGGCCTAGGAATGCAAAAATACTGAGTCTTGGCATACCTTAGAGCTTGTATGGCAACATGAGATAAGCTTGCTGGAGAAGATGGGCCAAAAATGAAAACAAATTTCCCTGGGTGTTGCTACGCTGTCAGGTTGGTTCACTCCCTGTTCTGCCCTGGGGCAGTGCTCCACTCCTCACCCATGCTGTAGGCAGGAAGGAGCCAAGTGTTTCTCTTGGCAGGCAAGTCTGGGTTGTGCAGGACCCCACAGTGAGAGCAGTGGTGAACTAGAACTCATCATTAGGTTATCCAGAGAGGTGATGGGTGCCCATCCCTGGAGACATTCAAGGTCAGGCTGTACGGGACTCTGAGCACCTGAGCTGCAGGTGTTCCTGTTCATTGCAGGGGATTTGGACCAGATGACTTTTAAAGGTCCCTCCCAACTCAAATGATTCTCTGATTCTATGATTTGGCTGTGCCAGAGGGACTGGTTTTGGCATGGGGAATTGGCTAGGACTGAACCTCCTGCTGATCACAAAGGCTTCTGTGCAAGGCCGGTGCATACAGCAGCGCCTCTGAGGACATTAAACATTGAGCATGACTTTGTGATTTGCAGAAGCAACTGGTTCCTTGTGCAGCCACCAGCAAAGAAGCTGTGAATTCTGCCCTGCCTGCTCATCTGCTTTCCCGTAGGAAGCATATTTCAGGAGATATGGGTGCAGTCAAACAAAGCAGATGATTTTACATTTGTGTTTCAGGTAGACCAAGAGGCTGAAATCATGCCAAAGTGTCAGTCCTGTCTTTTGTGCGAGACTGCAAAAGAGATGGACTTTAAGGCATAGCTTTCATATCTGAGGGCTTTTCTAATGACTTCTTAACTAATTGACTTGACTTTGGCAGGGAGACAGCCAGCGGCTGAAAAAGGATTAAAACTGTTAGAAACGAACAGCTTTGAAGTGGCTGAAACCCTATTAAAATTTGGATGACAGATTTCTTTGAAATAGTATTTCTTAACCACTACAACCTGGTACAGTGAGCTCTTCTGCAAAACTTGAAGGGGTAAAGGGAAAGTTTGTGCAGTGGAATGGACTCAGCTTGCTGCTGCCATTCAGTAATTTGAAAACTGTAGGATACATTGTGTAACTCATGTAAACTGCCCATTTTATTTCTAAGAGTGAATATTTTGTGTTAGGGGAATATTTTCCTCTTATCATTCAGATCCAACATAGCAAGCACCATGATGAAGCTAAATAATGTATCTTTTTCAGTGGCCAAATGGATCTTGCTCTGAGAAACAATCTGCCACAGAAATTACCCCAATTAGGGCTTTCTGCAGGGAGCACACGGAGATCCATTTCTGTGAGGCTGAAAGTGAGATTGTATTGGATGATAGTCATTTAAATGGAGGTGATGGATTTTTTCCAAAAGAACTTTTTAAACTTAGGATGTGCTCATTTTTTCAGATGTAAAACATCATATGGAAGCGTGATCATTTCTGCTGAATTTCTGTCAATCACCCCCTTTCCCCCATGCTCCAGTGGGACCTCTCCTGTCTGATAGGCTTCAAAACTTTCCAGCCAGACAGATTTTCTCAAAAAACTTGAAGACTTTCTGCTGGCTTACCTGCCAGCAGCTTAGAAATCTGCCTGAAACACAGCATCAGAGTGGGAAGTGCAGAAGGTTTTGGGGTCTGTAGCTGCTGGACTACCTTACTAGATACAAGGAGGAAGGATGTAAGGAAGAAGTTTTTTACGATAAGGGTGGTGAGGCATTGGCACAGGTTGACAGAGACGGGTGTTGGATGCCCCATCCCTGGAGACATTCAAGATCAGGCTGGACAGGGCTCTGAGCACCTTAATCTAGCTCTAGGTGTCCCTGCTCATTGCAGGGGGTTAGACTAGATGGCCATTAAGGGTCCTTTCCAACTCAAGCAATTCTATGATACCCCATCCCAAGGAGATGCCCCTCATGGCTTCCAGCCTCACAGCCAGCTGGCTCCTCATCTTTGCAGAGAGAGCCTTCCTGTCAGACCCAGCCCTCCACCCCAGTCTCCACCGGCTTGAAGCTTTCTGCTTGGTTTGAGTCCTCCACCCCATTCATGGTCCAGGAATCCTGTGTTCATGGTGCTGGTGAGGTTTCCACCATGGTGCTGCCAGGGAGCTGTGACTTCCTGGGGTCCAAGCAGCTAGCTCGGCTGATTAGGGAAATCTGGAAAACACATTGTGACCTAAGGATGAAATAATTTTGGATTTTAGTCCCTTGAAAATGTCTATTACATCTATACATCTATATACCTACTATACATTTTTTGTCCCAAATTAAAATTAAAAAATAAAACGAAGCCATTGGACATCAGAAAGTGATCCAGAATGTGTCTGGTTTCTCAGTCTGATCTGCTGTTAGCTCTGTATTTAGCAAGCATGTGCACTGAGTTTGTGAGTGGTTCTGCTGAGACAGGTCAGGGTATCCACCATGTTAGCACCAGGCTCATGCTACATGCTGCCCTGAAACTGTGCCTGTGGGAGTAAAGTGTGTTTCTACAGATCATCGAGTAGGTCAGAGTTTCTTCAGGGGCATTTCAAACAAAAGCTTGATGGCTAATGAAAGGCAAAATGTAGCAGTCTAATTTACATCGGCACTCAGCTGCAAACCTATGACACCAAGTTCAAGGAGATCATGACTGGAACTACTTTTAATCAATCCTAATTCCTCTGGTGTGGATCTGTAAGATGAACAATTTAATTCAGGACAAATGAGCTTTATGGCAACCATGTAATGAGAACAGACATTATATAGCTATTATATAGCTATTCTCTATAAAGCTGTTTAGCTGTTCATGTAAAAGCATTCTCATACCTACATAATGCACTAGACTCTTGTGTACAATCATAATTTCAGTCTACCAGAAAATGACAGTGTTATGGTCTATGCTTTGTGTGTGTACCTTGTTATAACATCTGCTTATTTTGCCATTTATGTCATTCTTCATCAAAGTCATAGATTAAAACCTCTTCTTATTCTAGTGCAGAAGTAGAAATTGCTCCCATAAATAACATTTTTCTTGTGGTTTCTAATCTTCTTTCACAACTCAGTGTGCTGTCAGTGTGAAAGAAGCTCGTGCAGAGCTATGGAAGCCTCCTTAGGTAAGAATCTACTATTGCTACTTAGATAGGTGGAAGAGGGAGGGAGGGAGGAAGGGAGAGAGGGAGATAAGCTTGAAAAAAACAGTATAGTATGAAAATTTTGGCTGAAACTCAAAAACACCAAGATGGTAGATGGGAAACTCTTACATTTCCCTGCTGTTTGCATATGTGGGTGGGATTGGTGCTGACCAAGTTGCTTCCTGCAGTTCCCCTGCCATTAACTAACTCAGCAGGATAGAAGGGGTTAATGTAGCTTTGCTGGCACTGATTTCTAATCTTGCTCTGTATCATCATGGTAGTAAATTTTCTCTTATGTTCCTCTTGCCTTTAGTCATAGTGCTATGAGAAGAGTCCTCCTGAACAACGGCAAAGGCATTCCTGAGTGGATCAGAACCCTCTAGTGCAAAAGCAGAGCTGCTGCCTTCTGCAATGTGGGCAAGGCAATATTCGGTTCAAACAGACAAGGAAAACAAAGGGCTGCTGCAGACCTATTCTTGTAAACCATTTCTCATGAAGAGACTCCATGCTGAAGCGTGCAGAATGTTTGTGCTAGTAAGGGCTCCTGGCAGATTTGGCAGTGTTCTACAGGCTCCTGGTAATTACAGACACATCATTCAGTGTTCAGAACATCGTGTTAGCCCTCAGCTGTAGGAGTCTCCTTGATTTCAGGAAGTAAAACCCCATGAAAATGACTTTCAGGGTGTGTTCCAAGCATAAGGAGGGGTCCATGCTTTTCTGTGATTAATTGCCTGTTTACAGTTTTACTGAACAAAACCTGGCTTAACTTTGTGACATGAAATATGTCTAGTGAAGAGAAGCATCAAATTAATACCGCCCAATTAAAACTTTAAAAGCAATAATCTTCAGTTAACAAACACCAGATGCTCTTGTCAGGGTTATCTCACTGCTGTTATATTAATCACTTTTAAGCTCTGTTCATTTGAGCACTTACTTGGTACAGACTACTATTGCAAGATCATCTTTTTGAATACTATGCCAAAAATTATCACTTCCCTGATCCTGCAACTGTTAAGACATCAGATTAAAAAAGTGGGAGTAACTGGGAAGCAAAGCATTCTTGGTTATTTTTTAAATACAAAATGACCACTCAACCTATTAAACAGGTTGAATAAGAGACTTTTTTATTGCTTTAAAAAAAATCACTCCATAGCATGTTACTGCTTTTCAGAGAAAATTAAGTTATTAATATGTTAAAGCAGCACATGTGCAACAAGTGTAAAACTGATCTACCAACAGAGAGGTGGAGGAATTTTCCACTAAGAAATGTAGACCATAGCCAAGAGGAATAAACTAAGAAACAACATGAGTCAGAGATAGACTGTAGACTTTTCCGCATCCTGGACATATGTGGTTTGAGTGTTGCGGCTTTACACTCCAGGACCTCCCAGTCCCTGAGCTCAAATTGAGTATTAGGAAAAATTTCTTCTCAGAAGCAGCGGAGAGGCAATAGCCAGGGAGATGGTGGAGTCACAATCCCTGAAAGTGAAGGAAACATGTAGATGTGTCACTGAAGGATGTGGTTAGTGAGCACGGTGGTGATGCCTTGATGGTTGGACGAGGTGATCTTAGTGATCTTCTCCAACCCTAATGATTCTATGATTCTAAAGGTTCTGCCAGACAACGAGGCTTGTTTGTTAAGAACTGGACTCATCCAGGCTGACATAAAGTTCCAAAGGAGCAGTGTTGTCACCTTGTAATAATACCTGAGTTGCTTTCTGAAAATGCCTCATTCCAGCTGTAGGAGAGACCAAAGAGACTCTGCTTCTCACTGGACAGTGCTGGTAGGGTAATGGATCAAGAATGGTTAGCCAGAGAGGAGAGGAACCTTTAAAACACTATATTATGTATATGGATGTGAATGCCTTCAAAACCACAACTTGGGAGGGATAATCCTCGTGAAAACAGAAGGGGCTTGAAAGGACAAAATTCTCTGGGAAGCAGGAAATTATGTGGAAAAAATGAAGATTCAAGCCTGAGTGAGGATGAGTAATTTTTTCTGGAGTGCCATTAAGAAATGAAATCTGTGGGATTTCTGTGGTCAGAGAAGACACATTCTTGTTATTCCTTATCTTCTGCCATGACAGCTCGACTGTACAAATTCAGAGCGGGTCTCTGTGTGTAATGCATCCTCATGCTTTTAGTTTGGGCTCCATGCCATTTCTAACAGTTTCACTTGACCACCCATCAGCCTGAAATCTTCTTCGGAGATGATAAATAACAGATCATCTCACCTTCTCAGGAAATTGTTGTAAGAACAATCAAAAAAAAAAAAAAAAAAAAAAAAGCTACATCAGCAACAGTCATGATTTAAAAACATAAAATAGTGAAAAACAACTCCAGTGAAGTGGGTTGTTTTTCCTGTGTATTGTCTCAGTTCCTGCCGGGTGACCCTGCCCCATTGCACCATTTCATATCCCCTTTATCCTGCTTTGCTCTGTTCCCTGCTGCCCCACCTTGCTGAAATCCGTACCCACCCAGTGGGGGAACAACAGCAAGTTTAGATAGGGTCAGGACAGAGATTTTTCAGCTGCAGAAGTCAGGCAGTCACTTCTGTGAGAAATGCAACACACTCTGTGTCATGTCCCTGAAAATGGAATTGTGTACTCCCAGCTCCAAAGGGTTTTGTGAAGAAACTCCACATTACGTGTCCTGGTGAGAGACACAAAGGTGGAAAACACAGGCAACAAATGGAAAAAGGTAATGCAAATGGAAAGAGAGCATCTTCCCATTTTGTGCAGCACTTTCAGATTACGCATGCTGTTTTCCCCACCTCTCTCTCTCTCTTTAATTCCTTTGCCCCCCACAGTATATAGAGCACTATTTTACCTGTAAGGATATGTGCATATGTGCCCTATAAGGGGAAGGTGTCAAGTTGTTTTTCATTATTCTGCATTTTTAAATCATGAGTGTTCTTGATGCAGCAGTGTGTTTTGGGGCATGCATGCCATAATCAATTCTTTTCCCAACGTCCAAAATGCCATTCTCTCAAGTGGGCATTTTTCTCAAGGAGAAAAGTATGTTAGCCTTTTGTATTAGTATTAGTATTTGTATTGCAGTATGTATTTGTATTAGTAGTCCCCAAAGGATGAGGACATCTTTCCAGGAGGCTAAAAGTACCTTGGATAACTCTTATTCTTGCATTAACCACAATGCCTTACTCAAAGGACTTAGCATTTTGAACAGTTGTCTGAATTTCATAATTGCTTTCTGACTTTGGCAGAAATGCAGGTGCTGGAAATTTTGGTGATCTTACGGAGTAAGTTGAGAGCAAAACCTGATACAGAATCCTAGACCAAAATCAGAACCTTGGAGCTGCTGAGTGGTTGCTGAACAGGGATGGGATTTCATAGTGGGCACCCAGCTTGCCCTCGTCCCAGTCCTTCCCCACTCTTGTGTATTTTGTGCTTGTGTTAAAGTACTTTTCTTGTACAAGCAGCTTATGATAATTTAACTTATTACATTATTAATTAATTGTAGCCTGTCATTTTAAATGGCTGGTGGACTGCTTTGAGTTCATAACGAAGAATGTTGGTCTTTACTCTCAATCCTACTTATTCAAAGATTCATGGAAAAATATTGTTCCTGTTATTCCCTCCCCTCTCTCTTTTTTAATATTTGTAATTGTTTTGCTTTAACTGATTTTTTTAGTAACCCATGGCAGCAGTAGAAAGCACTTCTGCAAGCATTATGGCACAGATAGAAATACATTCTTTTTCTCACTGAACTCATGCCAGTTTTAATGGAATTCATACATATGGAGACAAGGGCTTGGCAGAGGTGTGTGCAAGAGATTTGTTGAATCTGTGGGAGTGTTTGTGTATGTAGCTGTGTGCAAAAAAAAGAGAGAGGATGTTGAAACCTGGCAACTGTATCATCTGACAGCTCTGTAGTGACACATATAGTCCTGATTTAAGAATTTGCTATAAAAAGCTCCATGGAATCCTGGTTTGGGATCCTGTGGGACCTCCAAATAAGTACCATGCAGTTTTCTATTTTCTGTCTTTTCTAATAAGCTGTAACATGCCAAAGATAGTGGTACCTGTGCTGTTGGTTTTCATATTAATTTTGAAATGAGTGTAGTGTTCATACAAATTATGAAATTGACAGCCTTGAAGCTTAAGTCTTCTGGGTTTTTTTGGTGCAGTAGCACTGGATGTGATAGCACATACTGCCTTCTTTGCCTAAATATTGTAAGCTTATCTGGAGAAGCCACCTTTAAGTTGCTGTCATGAGCCATGAGTTAATTGACAGTATTGGAAGTCCTTCATGTATCTCACACAGCACCTGTATGGCCTGTTCCTTTGATTTGCTCACGTATTTGCTGTGCTTGAGCTGGACAAAGGCTGGTTATACCTTGTGAAACAGCTCATGTAGGCTTCCTACAGGTGGAAGCAGACAGCTACTCTTTGAATATTTAGAAATATTTCCCTTACAACTTTGCAGGCTAGGAATACAGATTTTTTTTTTTAATTTATTTTTTTTTTCAAAATAAAGATTAAGAAGATTCAGCAGGTGAAGAAGCTGAGACCTTTGTCATGTTCCTATGATTACCATGGCTAACACAGCATTGGTTGTCATATTCTGTTTGCTCTTCTCTTCAGAGTCCTACCAGGACAGAATTGCTAGGCATTATCTGCCCAGGGAGGTGGTGCTGTCTCTGTGCCTGGAGGTGTTCCAAGAACCATGTGGCACTTTGGAACATGGTCAGCGGGCATGGTGGGATGGGTTGGTGGTTGAACTAGGTGATCCTAGGTGGTCTTTTCTACTCTTTATGATTCTATGATTCTATGATTCTATTCTGTTGTTATGAAGGCCTATTGGAAAGTCTTGTTTTGAGAACCTATTTGGTGTAAAAGAGAGAAAGTACTTCATAGACATAATTGCTCTGTGAAAACCAAGATATAGCCAATTCCAGGGCACGTATTCTACCTCAGTACCTTCTGTTTGTTTTACAACATCCTTGCTATTTGGGAAGAAATTGAGTCACTTGATTGACACAGAAATGAGAATAGATCTATGTACTCGTAGATCCTCATTTATCATTTTTTCTCTGTTTGCTGTAACACTGCTGAGCATGAGTATTGCAGGAACATGTGTTTCAGCAGTGCCCTAGAAATCTAAAGTGTGTCTCACTAATCAAAGAGCAACAGAAAAATGGCAGGCAATATGATAAGCCGGAGCCTCGGCAAGAATGTGAGGAGTATGAAAAAGAACTCAGCTGCTAAGCTATCCTGAACCCAAATGTAAATTTGTTTCTTCTTTTTACAGATAGTGTTTCCATAGGTTAAATGCTTTGGGTTATTACAACAGGACTTATTCAGCCCTAAGCAATAAGACAACATTAAGAAGACAAGCGAAACTAGTGAGAGACCCAACCACAGTTAGACTTCTGAAGGACAATGAAAATGCACTCCTTCTGGATAGGCATTGCAGAAGAAATTTCCAATATGATACCAGCAGATTAAAAACTTTTGGGATGATAAGGACAGTGAGAATGAGTAGTGCGTGTGATCTGCTTCCCTGCTTCTGACAAGAGCTGGCACCACTGAGTTTTGAGCA